CAAATTTGTACTTAACAATTAAAAGCATTATTTGAAAGAAAATAAATCGAGACAGTCAACAACGACTTCCACTTAACGGGAACTAAGGTTCAATGACGGGCGGCAGGCAGTTGGTGGTCCATGTATGTCACTTACACAGGTGGAATGAAACGAGTGAGAGATTTACAAAAATATATGTGAAGCGCGAATTATTTTTTAAATCGTTCAACAGTGTCGTTCCACTTGTTGAAGTGCCATACATGGACTAAACTAAAGCAGTCACCAACTGCCGGTAGTCATTGAACCTCAGTTTACGTTAAGTGAAAATCGTTGTATTAACCAATACAACACAGCATTGGTGTCAAATTCTCTTTGAATTACTTGCTGAATAATTTTTAGCATCCAAAAAATTACAGACGTCGCTACTGTCATTAGCGAACACAAATTGTGTGATGGACTTACTGCTATTTAAAAACTTAAATATTGAAAAAATAAATATATTGTAGACTGCACAGCACTTAGGGATTATATAGGGGACACGGCCAAGTAGGTGCGCTACCAAGTAGGCGCAAAGCCAGGGAAATTTCCTACCCTTATCAATTTTTGTACCAATTGCTTTAGCTCGATGAGAGGAATTGTTTGATTCTAAATTTTGAAGGATTCGCAAATCTTGAAGCATGCTATGGCTTTGCGCCTACTTGACCGCGCGCTGTTTTGATTAAATAGTTAAATAGTCCGTTAAATAGCTATATGCTTTACAGAACAAAATAAATAGAAACTAAATGAAATTCGCTAGATTTTATCAACATATTAGCTAAGAACTGAGTTCAATCCTGCAAAATTAAGAAACCTTCTTGAGTGGCGAAAAACACGAAAAACTAAACGACAGATCGCGAAAAAATTTGTAATGAAGATTAGCCTAAGGCATTGCTTGGCTTCCAAAAATAAACGATTAGGCCCAACGGGAAAAATATTACTTCAATTTAGATACTGCTATTATATCTAACTTTATAATTTATTTAATATTGTGTTCAAAAGTATAAGAGCACCTTGGATTATCGTCTTTTTTGGATTCTTAGGAAGAATCTACCAAAACTAGAACAGCCAATACGTGACTGGGACGTTTAAGCGCGGGGACGTTTTGGTCCGAAGATATCGAAACCATGATCTAACCTCATTACACGATTCAAACAATAATTAGTCATACTTTAAATAAGGTATATCGTTAAGTAACTAGCTAGACCCCGAACTGTACCGTAGTACGGCAGTATTTTTCGCTAGTTATCAGTATGCCGTATTGGTAGTACGGTAGGGATATCGACCAGTTTTTGAAGTTGATCGGCATTCCTCGGTATCGATATTTTTCGGTATTGCTGTACGGAATAGCGATGTTCGGGAGAAGAAAAAACACGGGAATCGGGAAAAGGGTCTGAAATGACATCGGGAGTAGGGAGGTTAAAAACTCGGCAAATTTTCCCGAGTCGGGATAGGGATACCCGAACATCCCTAGTACAGAATAACGTCATCACAAAATTCCATGCACTATAACTACAATACCCAATGGGGAGATAAATTTAAAGATGTAGTCTAAAGAGCGTAACATTGATTGAACTCTTAAAATAGCTATGAACAATGTTCATGCTTCCAAAAATATAAGACAACACTCACAACACGTCATTATATCACAAATTTATTTCAGAATTTATAAAATTAAAAATTTAATTAGGAACATTAAGTAAAATCCAATCTTTAAGAATATCTTCTTCATCAAAAAGGCTTAAAACTTAGCTTCGAATTTCATCAGTGTCAATATGCTGATCTATAATGGCATTTATTCTTTGAATAATTTGATGTTTTTAACATTTATCAAATCATAATGTTGTGTATGGGCGTCAGCCCTTAAAGTGTTTACTATAAAAGACAGCCAATAGTTAGTTCGGTCTCCCAGTCTTATTCCTCTTCCTACCCAAACCTTCATCTTCTTTGTATTTTCGTGTGTGATAAACTTCCGTCATCTTCCTCTACGTATGCGGGGTCGTAAGACAACATTTTAATAAAGTATCAGATTTGATCTATTCACCTATAAAAAAGATAGCGACAACCAAGGGCTTCCGAATAGTATAATATTTGCTAGTATTGGATTGAGGCTAAAAAAGCTATAGCTGATCAAATAGTACCATCTTGATTATATAACTGTTATTAAAAAATATTTAATATTAAATTATTTGTTAAATTTTTATTAAAACTGAGTATTTAAGTATTTGATTTGTTACTGTTGCGACCTCGTTGTTATTTTATGGATGATTACATATCAGTAGTCAATTAAATTTTATTTAAGAATTTTGATGTCGAGATATGTTAAGTATGCCAAGATAAGGTTGTTATTAGAGGCCTGACTGTACTTACTACTGGTATATCATTGACTGCGGCGTGTCCGAGGAATAACATAATAAAGAAAAATGTAGTGGGGTTAGAATAGTCAGTCTAGTTGGATCATACTAGCGCGGTTAGTCACTGATCTCCTTCGTCTTTCCACTTCTTTCCACCCTCGACTACATTTAACGGATAAACTGTTATTCTTGTGCACGTCAACATTAGTCAAATCTCGGACAACCCACGGACATAACAAAGACTTTATCACACAGCTTTATACATTAGTAACGAACAATAGGAATATGGCTAACGCCAAATATATCGAAGACTCATTCGATTGGATCAAGCATATTAAAGTTATAGTCGATCAAATTCGGAGAAAAAACGGAAATGCGGGAGTATAAGCTAATAGTACCAATACAGTACACGATAACATCTGAGGACTGGAACGAATAAATGTATAGCTATGAACATTGTTCAAGCTTCCAAAAATACATGAAATACATTACAACGCCAGGATCGTCAAAATTGTTTAAGAGCATTCTGAATCTATAAAATTAAAAACAAAATAATAAGTATTAAGTAACCAATAAATTATTTGAATGCGTACAATACAAACGATCAACACCTACATAGAACGGATACTTGTCTAGAAATAAAATGGAATTTAAGAATGTTATGATTGGTGACTTTGGGCACATTTATCCTAGTTAATGTTGGATCTTATAAAATCTCGTCTGGCACTTCACAGGATTGAAACCAAATTGAAACTTGGTTTGACTTTAAGTAACATGTTTGACATGTCCAAATATTTTTGCTAGAGCCCGGCTCGATACGATATTTTTTCGATATTTTTCGGTATTTTTCTATATATATTTTTCGATATTATCGAAAAAATATCGACCGAGAAAATTTTGTCTTTTTCGATATTTTTCGATATTCGGTATTTTTCGATATTTATCGAAAAAATATCGACCGAAAAAATTTAAAAATCGAAACAATCGACCGACCAAATTACAAAAAATCGAAAAAAATATCGAACGTCATTTTTGACAAAAATTTGAATTTTTGAGCCAAAAAGGATGCATTTTTGCTTCTTGCCCATTGGAAATTCAAAAAATTTTCGCCTGCGGCGCAATAATTTTGCAACTTGACCTTCCGAGATTCTCATAGATTGTTAGAATAGCCTTTCCTGTCCCATCAATCCATAATATTCCCTCGATATCCCTACATAACACATATGAATAAAGAAAGATTTCGGTATATTTAGGGAGATTTCATTGGGTTAAGAGTAAATTAAGAATAATAAGAGTGGCTAACAAATAAGAGTAATTTGATGGGGTATCCAAAGATTTGGTGGGATATTTGAGATATCCAAGGATCATGACGGATATTGGTGATATACGGTTTAATCTACTATTTGGATAACAAATAGAGAATTATGTGGATAAAATGGATCTCAAGGGATCAAGACGGAGCTTAGGGACAGATGGATATCAAAACGGATATCAAATGCCAAGATTTTTATCCTATGATATCTCTTTATACCTCGATAACCCTCTTAATCCACAAATCCTTTAATATCCCTCCTGATCTCACAAATCCACAATATCACTCTTACTACCTAAATCTCTCGATACACCCTCAGTCCTTCAATATCCCCCTTAATTCCTTAAAATACATTATCCCTAGTTAAAATCCACTTATATCCCATTTGATCCTTCGATATCAAATACAATTCTATTGATATTACATTTAATACATCCAAATCCACCTATATCCCATTTATCAATCTTAATCTCATTAAACTATTAAGTCTATTGTTGTTCGTTGGTTATAGAAAAATTTTTGAAAAATCGAAAAATATCGACTTTTTTTTCGATATTTTTCGGTTTCGATATTTTTCGATATTCGGTATTTTTCTTATTTATCGAAAAAATATCGACCGAGCCCTCCGTCCGGGCTCTAATATCAATTGATAGGGTGTTATAGTAATTTAAAATGTTAAAAAGTTTAAAAATCTCTCTTGCTGAGTAAGGTTGCCGAATAGTTGGAAATCTTCGGATATACGGATCCGATATCCGAATCGAAAATTTCTGGATATCCGGCATATTTTCTTCATCCGGATATTGCTCTGGATTGTTACTTTGCATGCTGTTAAGGTTTAGACATAATTTCTTAGTAAGGATATGAATAGGTTGTTAATTGTCAACTAAGTAAAGAGAGATTATAAATGTTGAGATTGAGATGACTGTTTCAAAGCCACATGGTTTTAAAAGGTTAATAAAGGTCTAAAAGGTATGGGATTAATCATAAAATTATTATTAAAAGAATCTTCGATTTCATAACTAAGGATTTCCTGGCGACACGAACTTATACTTTTGGAAGCCGGCTTTACGCAGGGCAACAGATGTAATACAATAGATAATTGTATAAGGTAACTAATAAATCTGAATTAAATATTGGGAGCTAGATACCAACTAATAAGAGGTAGGATTAGATTTCTTTGGTACATTACCCAAAATGTCTAATCCCAGAAATTAATTAATAAGTAATTAGTGTAAGGAAGAGAAAAATCCAGCTGGCTAGCATTTAAAACGCTGACTGCGGGGGGTTTAAGATCTAATAAAAGAGAAGGTGAAAGCAGCGTCCCGGTAGCTCAGTATGTAGAGTACCTTTACGTGGTGAGCGAAAGCGCCTAGCAATAGCTGCCAGGAGGTCGCAGGATCGAAGCCTGCCCGGGATTAAACTTTTACCTCGCTCTTACTTTAGTAAATGTTTGTCAACGTATTGTAGACTAGACCATAACGAAAATCGAGATCTCGAACAACTTCCTCGGTTAACGAGAATCGGGATTTTTAAGGCATCGATATCTCAATTGACGTTTAACCCTCCATGTCAGGTCTCTATGTTAGATTACTAAGGTTCAGTAAATACTTTTATAGCTGGATATATCCAACTTTCAAAAAATAAAAATCCCGTAATATTTTTAGTGTATAAGGCTCTAATATCGCCTAACTTAATAAAGATAATAAATGAAATAATATATACTTTGTTAAACAAGTTTCGGGGTAGGAAAGATTTAGAGCAATCAAGGCACGTATATTATTGCCTCCGGAATATGCTGAGATATGTTAATTAATAGACTTTAATTGTCTTGTTATTAACAAAAGAATAAACGTGATTACAGCACCAATATACTTTTCAACACTATCTAAACATAGCAAACTTTATCATACCTGAGAATGTATTTATTAAATATATGTTATTTTAAATTACAGGTTGGTTAAAAATTAAAATAGATTTAGTGATTAAAATAGATTTAGTGGTGGGTTCGAGTCCGTGGCTGGAAATGAGGCTTAAAATATTTTCTTTTCAAAAATAAATGTTTTTAAACTTTGATTTTCATTTTAGATTTTTAAATTTATTTTTTTAAAATATTTATGCTTGAATCAGAATTAAAAAATTTAATTTAGTCAAGAAATTTTGCAAAATTTTCACCTGCGGCGCTTAACATGGAAGAAATTTGGCTCTCCGGTCTTCCAAAATTTTCAAAATTTTCGCCTGCGGCGCTGAAAATGGGAGAAAATTGGAGGCTTTAATGGAGATAAAGCGGAGGGATATTAGTATATAGTGGGATTTTATCCCTCTTAATCCCCAAATTCCACAATGTCTCTTTAATCTCTTCAAATTTGCCTCTCTCTATATCACCCAAAAACCTATTATGCATCATAGCTTAGCTCCTTACAATTTAGTTCACCAATACCCCAACACCCGAAAATAACCCGAATTTTTTGCCAACCCGAAACACGATACCCGAAATGAAAACGCTCCAACCCGAAATGAAAACGCTCTAACCCGATAATATTGTCCTTATTGCCTAATACACCAAAAATATAAATTTGTTTGTTTTTTTGATTCATATAAGCATTACTAATTTTAAGAAATTAACTTTAATTAGCGGCTGGAGGCCTTGAAGGAATTTAATTTTTTGGAAGTCAAGCAACGCTTAGACTAATGTTAATTAATTGCTAATTATCTGTCAGAATTTTAAACGCTTTGGCAGGGGTTAAAGAATCTTTAAGCGAGGCCAAGCGAACAACGAAAGCATTTTCACATATTCGAATCCTGCCTGTGACTAAATTTTTTCTAAACTCTGACACATGTTTAAATAGAGGGCATCACTTAGAAAACCTCCACCCTCACAGATCCTAGTAGCTAACGGTTATAATTGAATTTAAAGGAAGAAGGGGCTTCTAATGTGAATAGGGCTCTCTCCCATCCTTAGTTGTTAAACGTTAAAAGGGGATAGAAGAGCTTAAGTAGAGGGTATATCTAGTAATCATCTCGTCTTTTAAAAAGGACCAACGTTAATTTATAGAGAGCTAGTAAAACTCGAGGTCTAAAATTTTATGGTTCGAAAGGATCGAGAACAGTCAATAAAAAATCAACGAGAAATGATAATTTTGACTTCGTTTTCGCTTCACATTTCACCCATATTTTGAGATTTTTAGTCCATATTATATGTCAATATTTTGAGATTGATAGTCCATATAAATCTCATCCCTATTTATTACTCATGAATTTTAGCCCAAGCTTTGCTTGGCTTCCAAAAATTTACAACGATGTCTTCCCATTGACGAGTAATTTTCTCATGAATCAGTCTAACGTTTCTATCCAGATTAATAAAATAATTAATAACTTTTAAATAAGAATGGAAACTCAACAATAAACATTCTAAAATCCCGTCCCAGAGGAGTGAAAACTACAAAAATTCGTTAGAATCATAACGGAATCTATTCCAATAACTATAAAATTAAATATTAATGAGCAGATGATTAAGTAATACGGTATTTATTCTTGGAAGATGGGGTAACCATCTAAAATCCTGCCTTGATCATAATTTAACATTTAGGCAAAGAACTAAATATTTTAAATTAAAGTTGTATAGCAGGGGTGGCTTTAGTCTCGTATCTCGTGAAATCTAGTATTTTTTGCAAATCTCGTATCTCGTGAATCTCGTGGCTCGTATTTTATGGCCACCCCTTTTGTATAGGCACGAGAAAATTCTATTTTACAAAATAAATATTAGTTCGTTTTAATTTTGTAAAATGTTTAAGAATAAAATGACTGGCGCTTTATTAATTTTGAAATATTGTCTCTATTTTTATAAGTTGGATAGTCCAACTAGAATTTTAACTAAACTTGGATAAAAACGACAGTAAATATTACTATATACAAAAGTTAAAACTTTCTGAGATTTGTGCGGATAATAATGATAATGCCTGATACAACATATATAATATTTCAATTTAAATTGAATAAGTTTGAAAATAAATTACTCCGACTGCTTACTTGACTTCCATTTCTCTATTATTTTTTGGAAGTTGGTTAATCCAACTAAAAATTTTGGTTGTGACTGAAAAGGATTTGGTTAGCCACTGGAAATATCTTCTAAATGATACAGCTTTTTTATATTTGGGCAAGTTGAAATCTCCAGGCTGATCACACTCCCGTTGATCGAAAATTTTATGGAGAGAAAATATGAAGAGAGAAAATCCAAGGAAATTATTGGCTGGGGGAGGGAAACAACATAAGTAAAGTCGTTAACGTACCCTAGTAAATTTAAAAATAATAGAAGACAATGACAATTTACTAAAAACAGTCAAATTGCAAAATAAATGTTATTTGAATTTAAATTAATAAAATAGGAATGAAAAAATAAAATTTGTGGTCTATCTGCGCAAGTCCTTGGTCGATTTATTTTTGTAAGTTGGTTAATCCAGCTAAATTTTCACTGTACCTACTACGTATGAGGTAGGCTTAAACTCTAACCCGAATCATGTTTTAATACACAAATAGATGGACAATATAAAAATTTCATTTTGGAAGCGTAAACATTTCAATGGACGCGTAAGGATTGATTTTATAAAAACTGGTCAGTTTTTTTTTTTGAAAATTAAAATTTATTTCAATTTAAATTTGTGATATGCTTAAACAGAAAAAGGAATTTGACCTCTTCTTCAAGCGTTTTGACTTTATTTTTTGGAAGTTGGATAGTCCAACTAAAATTTTCAGCTGTAATTACTACGGATCGGATTTTTAGGTCGTGAAAACCTTAAAATAAGTGCCAAAATAGGTTGTATAAAATAGTGAAAGAAAGTTAAAGTGAAAAAGTAGTTTTTCTAAAGCATACTGGGCATCCAAATATAAGCCCCAGAGCTAAGGCTTCTATAGGAGAGATCTGCTATTTATTTATACAGTCGGACTGCACTATATATTTTGTCTTTTTTGATTTTCTTGAGTCAAAGATTAGCATCGAGATGGGAAATCAACCGAAAGAAAGGAAGAGATTTTTGCCTAAGCTTTGTTAGTTTTTTTTTGCCTAAGCTTTGAAGAGATTTTTGCCTAAGCAAATTAAGTCTCTATTTAAAGGAATAAAAGGGAAGATGTTTGGGTATTGGCTTAGTTGGCCTAAATTCAAATCTTAGGTGCTTTAAAAAGTTCCGGTTTAACCGGAACTGAAAGGCCAGAACCGGAAAATAAAGGCAAAAGTATAAAGTCATCATATTATTTGTACGCCCTCCTCCCTCCTATTTATTATAATGACCTCCTTTATTTGTCAAAGTCTTGGTCTTATTGTCGCAGTGATTTCTACAAGTTCTATTTCTCCTGAGTTTTATTCTCAACTATTATCCAAAGTCTCTATTTAGGGAATGCCATCAAAAATCTAAAAATTTGCCTAAGCTTTGCTTGGCATCCAAAAAATTACGACTTGAGGCTATGTTTAGGCTACTATCCTGTGATAAGCATGTTCCTTATATAAATTATTATTTTAATTATTGTATACTTTTAAAATATAAGGTAGATAAAGCTACAATGTAGGCGAAGGTGAAAATGGAAAGAATTCCTTTTGCTATAGAGAGATTATGAAATTCTTCCCGAAAGGTAACTAAACAGAGGGTTCCAAGAGGAATCGACGAGTTTTTTTAAAGTGGTCCACTACTGTAAAATGAGCTGGTTGTGAAGTAGAAAGATGTGTTCATAATATAATGTAAGAGAGTAATTATGTAAGAGAGTATCTTTCTTATTTTTATTGAGCGTTTAGTCAAAGAATATTACCGGGTTTGATAAAACAACTGAGTTAAGCAAGAGATTTTTGCCTAAGCAATTTTAGGCATCCAAAAAATTAGGCACGCAAATCAAGGAAATTGTTATCTATTGTACAAGAAATGTTCATAATATAATTTATTATTCAATTATTGTATATTATTTAGAATTATGTCAATCTAAAATTATGTAAGAGAGTATTGGGTTAGAATTACCAGTCTAATCAAAAAATTGAAATTAAATTTTCTAAAGTGCTTCCTTCTCCGCAATGTATGTATTAGAGCCCGGACCGATACGATTTTTTATCGATAATTATCGATATTTTTCGATATTTTATACCGACCGAAAAAATACCGACCGAAAAAATTTAAAAATCGAAACAATCGACCGACCAAATGATGAAAAATCGAAAAAAATATCGAACGTCATTTTTGTCAAAAATTCGGATTTTTGGCGCCAAAAAGGATGGTTTTTGCTTTTTGCCCATTGGAAATTCAAAAAATTTTCGCCTGCGGCGCAAAAAAACAAAAAAATTTTTCCTCCCCAAATTTTCCCCCTATATTTTTACAGAATGGTCAGACTTTTTCCTTTCTCCCATCCCAATTGCCTTTCTACATATACATATTTGCCAGCAAT